TGGATATTATGGAAGTCTTACGGGATATTATGATGAAAGTCCGAAACAAATACTATCTGAACATCACTTCCAAAAATTACCACAAATTTATTCATACATTGATTTGACTAATTATGATTTCATTTGTGTTTCAATAAACGATAAAATATATATAATATCAGAAGAAAACAAAATAATTGAAACAAAATTTAATAATTTTATCGACTTTTACGCCAATGAATTTAAAATAACTTACAATACAATTAATTTGAAAGAAATGAGTGATAAGTCAAGTAATGGTAAGAATGAAATCCTAACCAAACCAATACAACTGATGGCCAGTCATAGCAAAAGTATTATAAATTTGAAACTAATTTTATTTTACTTTTATTATAAATAATAAATTAATAATTATTTAATTCCCGTTAGTTATCGACAAACAGACAGTCTCTGCAAAATGCGAAAGAAATGAACCAAAACAACAGTCGAGTTACACTATAAGTCTCAATAATAATGCTCACGACTATCACCATGGTACTCCATATTATCTATATGGACAGACAGGTTCTACAAAAACAAGTATAAGTTTAAAACAACAAGAACTACAGTCGACGCCCATTTTAGCGAAGACTATTGATTGCAACCAGTGTAATTTAATTAATATATCCATGGTTAATACCCGATTAATTATAATAAATTTACATATTTATGTTACAAACAGGGAAACGGCAAACACTTTCTACTAAACATGAAACACAACACACAACACAGTCAAATCCCAATATAATAAATACTGATACTTCAGACGACCATGGTACTTTATGTGATGGTAACTATAAAACCCAATTCATTGAGATGTCAGCCATAGGTTCGGGTGGTTTTGGGACTGTATTTAAAGTGTTTGCCGTTTCCCTGTTTGTAACATAAATATGTAAATTTATTATAATTAATCGGGTATTAACCATGGATATATTAATTAAATTACTAAGTAAAGCATAGATTGGATGATAAGATATATGCCGTTAAAAGAGTACAATTCGGGGGTAAATTCAATAAGTTATTAACAGTAACTATTTATATATAAAAATATTAATAAAATATTTATATAGATTTTAGTGAAGAAAAGAAACAAAAAGTTTTAAAAGAAGTGAAAAGTTTAGCAAAACTAAACTCAGAATATGTCGTTCAATATTACAACTCATGGCTTGAGTCCAATCATCTCTTCATTCAAATGGAGTTCTGTTCACAAAGTCTTAAAACTCTTCTCGAAGTGAAACCCATTGTCTTCGAGAGACAACCGGAAGACCCGATAAATAGTGTTTTTGAATATTTTATTTCATGTGAAATATTCACAGAAATCTTAGAAAGTGTTGAATATCTTCACTCATGTGATCCGCCAGTCATTCATCGGGATCTCAAACCCGACAACATTTTAATTGATCCTAACTTTAAGTGCAATCGTTGTGTAAAACTGTGTGACTTTGGTTTAGCCACTGATCACAACATCGATATAGAGACGGCCCACCGATACGAGCACTCAGTTGTGGGCACTCATGCATATATGGCACCGGAAGTCAATTCTGGGAGTAAATATAATCATAAATCAGATATTTATAGCCTCTCTTTAATCGGCCAAAAGTTGTTTGCTATCGATCTCCAGGCGTAAGATTTTTTAAATAAATATTTAATAAAACATAATTTTTAATTACATGTTTTTTAAAAATATTAATTATTTTAAAGTTCGGAATCATTTGATGCCAACGAATCGGTATTCAGGACATCATTACTAAGTCTATACCAGACATTAGCTGTAATGATGTCAACACCCTTTTGGAGACAAAGGCCTGAGTGTCGGGAAGTGTTGGCCAAACATAACGAGTGGTCCATTGATAGGACTGTTATCACTAATCATAAGGATATCAATGAAGTGTTAAATAAACTAAAATCCACTGATTTCTATGAAATATTGTTTCGTAAAACACAATAAGGTTAAAGCATTAGTTTTATATCATTCTAATTGCTTTGCTTTAATTTTGCATGTTCATATTCATATATTTCAAAACGATATTAATTTTGAAATTAATGATTTTTTACTCTTACATTCAGATTAAAGTCGAAAAATCATTAATTTCTATTAAATTACTTAAAATCAGATAAAACTAACCTTTTCTATAGTTTTCAACTTTTAGTTTTAAATAATATTTATTTTAAAAAAATTTTCCATTAATTATTAACAATAAATAAATTTTAATTAATTAATTATAATAACTATTGATGGAATGGTATGGACAGGGGTTTTATAATGAGTGGTCTATAATGTCGTTGTTTTTTATATTACATAATAATTATTTGGTCTTTACTTATGATATAAATAGTACTTAAAATTTATGTATTTTTTAAATATATAGAAATAAGAGTAAAAAGTTGTTAATTGTGTTTAAAATTAATTTCTAATTAAATTAAATTTAAATAATTAACTATTTTTTTGTGAATACGAAAAATGTTTAGTAAAAGAGTTTTTTCTTATATTTTTTATGCAAATTATTATAATTTATTGTACAATAAATATATCATTAATAATTTTATGTAAAAAGAGATCAATGGTTTTGTTGACAATTGGTTTTTGTTTTGTGATAATAGATAACTATAGCTATATTTACAAATTAATTCACCATGCTCAAATGTCACAAAATATATTTAACATAACAAGAAAAACAATAATATATTTTACAATTACCTCCCATTATAGTCAACAACAATGTAATAATCTGTCAATAGATATAACCTAATAGTCAGTCTAAATCGTCAAATGCGGGAATTTTTCGGGTCAATTCCGGGGAATATTCCCCGAAAACATATCTATTTCCACTTTTAAACGCCGAAACGACAACCTTTTGGTCAACTTCTGGAAAGTCTTACCCGTCTTGGAGTCGGCGACAGTGGAGTCGTCGTCCGACGGCATCTCACCCTCGCTGTGGGTCTGTCGGGAGTGTTGTGGCGACTGATACGGCACTACAGGCGCTCCCGACGGCCCGACACCCCCTCCGCCTACTGTCACCTGACTGTGGATCAGATACTTCTCGAGACGACTCTTAGAAGATTTTCTGAATGTTTCTGTCCATTCATTACACCTTTGCTGGGCTCTGCAAAATAGTTTATTACCTGATAATCAGGACATTTCTGGAAGTCTGACAACTTTTAGTACAGATATCAGGAATTTTATTAATGCCGGACTTGCTTTGACTGACCAATGCTTTAACGGGACGTAAAAATGTATTTTCACCATGCCAATTAAAATAACCACGTTATCACTTGACTATTTTGTTAATTAATATTATCGTAATCATAATTTATAGCAAAATTACATTTATCGACAAGCTTATAGTGGTCAAAATGTAAATCGTAATGAAAAAACTTCCTCATAGACTTAGTATTAGCTATAATCAGAAGTACTATGGTCATTGTTTTTAAACAATTTAAACGATTTTAATAAAAATTGTCGTAACCGTTAGTGTTGTATCGCTGCCAAGCGGTGGCGATACTATCAGTTCGGCCGTTCGGTGTGAGAATGGGAACCGATGGGAAACAGTTACGGCAAATAGTGTTGTGAACCGAGGGCTCTATTGAGTCGGGAACCGCTTATAAGAATAGCGATTACCAACTTATACTCTACTCGTAGTCTATTTGGGATCAGTTGAGCGGAACTACTGCTGGAACCGCTTTGGTGATGATATTGGGATGAATGGTAACACAAGTTTATAACAATAACTATGGTTTTAATGAGTAAAACAATGAATAAAAGTGGTTATAAAAAGGTTACAAAAAATGATTGTATTGATTGAATGTTGGTTGAGATGTGTTGTGTGTGTTGTCGTGAGTGACTGCTCTGAATGAATGAATGAGAGTAAGAGATCTGAGCGTAAGAGAATGAGAGCGAGTGATGTCTTTTGAGTCCCCTTTTATACGGCTTTGGTTGAGATGAGAGAACCGTTGGAAAAGGGTTTGAAGTGATTGGTTGAGACTGTTGTTGAGGTATTGAGAGCGGTGTAGGTGTGGAGCGAGTGGTGAGTGTTGTCCTGTTTCTGGGAATTGTTTGTGACAGGGATTATGAATGTGAAAAGTGGTGTTTGAGTTCCGGGTAATGGGATCCGTTTGGAGGGCAGTTGAAGAGATTAGAACAGAAAGCAATGATTGCTGATCTGTGTCACGAGAAAATAAAGTTTATTTCCAACTGAGTTATGATAAGAATAATGGAAAAAATAAATAAAAAATTTGAAAAAAATTTTGCGATTTTGACACAAAAAATTGACTCATTTTACGTGAAAGTTGTGTTCGAAAACTAGATCGGAATTTACCACTAGAGCGGCGATAATAGCATACATACGACTCATAAGTCAAAGTGAAACCAAATGGTATAGCGATTGGGTTTCGTAGAGACGGTTACAGCTGTTAGCGTCAAAACATTGCAGCGTTACTAATGTAACTAATTATCTAAAATTACATTATAAAGCACTAGAAAATTTGCTGCAGTTTTTGTTGTGATATAATCAATGACTGATTTGATATTAGAAATGCTAAATAATGAAACACCAATAAAACAAAATTATATCACAACAAAACCTCGTTTCTTATCGACGATAAGTTATCGTATACTTGATTAAAATACTCTTTTACACAAATATTGCACAAATATAAAACTAAATACCTCATAAAGAAATATTTTCAACATGGTAAATTATTAATTAAGTGAAGAGTTGGTGAATTTGCACATCAAATACATAGTGGAAGCGTCGGTAGACTCGGCCGACAAGAAGTCGGCGATACAGTCGTGCGATAACGAGCGGCTCCGGGCGGCCCGTAAGCGGACCAAAAAGTTGAAGCAACGCCTGGCGGCCAAAGCGGCACAATTCGAGGCCAATTCGGGCCCTAAAGTGGTCACCGGAACGACAATACAGACGCCCAACAAGACTAAAATCACCAAATTGTTTAAGGTTTGTATGGATAGTGGTTCCAGTGCTTGTGTCCAACAATTATTTGTATGATTTCGTATTGTTTTCGCAGGACTGGCCAAATGACCCGATTGTCTGAGTCTTAGTTCTGTTTTATACCATATGTTTTGTTTTTGTTTAATCCATAAGCCATAAGACACGACTCTCATGGGTAGCAGTAGTGGCAGAACCGCTGCCCAGACATGCCATATAGTGTTCGGAGCCCTGTGTCGACTCCTGTCCACCATTTTCGACACACTTTACGGCCACTACTCGACGCTCACCGACAGTACCGACGATAGTCTGGCCTTCAATCACATCATTCAAGACGTGATCAGGTATTGTGTCCGACAATCACTGAATTAGTTATAAGACAATTAATGGTTATTTTTATGTCAATAGTTATATAGTATCGGTCGGAATGATTGATAAGCTGTCGCTAATGATGGCCAACACTCGGGGCCCCGTCGACGACAACCCGGAGCTGACCCAATGCCTGCGTAGTGTTGTCTCCCTCTTCAGCTCACTCTCCAAACTGATGGCACTTCGAGTGGAGCACAGGTTCGGCGCCCGTCTCGCCGACGACGACACACAACTGATGCTCACGTTTCAGATGACACACATCGGCGGTGTTGTGTCCC